GGCCACAATGAAAGGTCCCACCTGCCTGGGTGCTTCTGGCAGGGCTCTAACGGCACCTGCCTGCACTGCCCTCTGGCGGACCATCAAAATCAAGCAAACGCTGTTCAGTTACTGCTGCTGCCTTAGACTGTCAACAGGTGGTCCTGTTCTGTGTGCTGGAAACCCAGCAACAAACAAGAGTCAAACGCTCCTACACCTGTGCGTTTCACAGCGAACTGTGTGGATGGCGTAGCATGAGAAATGACATCACATTGAGACCTCAACAGTGAGAAAGGTCCCAGTTCCTTCCTTTCTGGACACATAAAACTGATTTAAGCAATTGCCATGTAATTTTCATGTATATATATATATATATATATATATATATATAGCCAACTTAGGAAGTAGACAGCAACATTTACTTCTTAAAACACTTAGAGACTTTCTTTGGCCTATACTTCCCAGGAATTTGACATTAAAGACATTTTATATTATTTTCATATCTAGCAAAAATATGCTTCGTTAACCACTTATTAGTGAAGATTTTGCCACATAAAGATAAGCAAACTGGAATTATAAAAATACATGACAACTGTGCAGAACACATTCCTCAAAAATCGGTATCTTCTGAAATTCACTTATTAAGAGTATGTTTAAATTTCAATTTCCTCTTCAACAGAAAATTATTGAATAGATACTGGTATCCCAGATGTCTGTGTGTAACTGGCATTGCAAAGTGGAAGTTTAAAAGTTAGATTACTTTTTCTTTTAGAAATGAGCAACTTCAAACTTCCTCCTGCTGGACACGTAACTGACACCTCATGCTCTCCTCAGGCCAAAAGAAAGGACAAATATGCAAATGTCAGCCTTATGAACAAGAAAGAGGAATTAATCCAAGATGGCTGGAAGTGACGGCGCAGCTATGGTCACCTGCACTGTCTCTCTGTGCGCCCCCTCCCCTGAGCTGAAGATGGTCGGAAACGATAAGTATTCGTGAAGATCTGCATTCTCTCTGCTTTTCCCTCTGTCCTCTGTTCTTACTCTAGAGGAGCCTTACCCACCTGTACAAGCTAAACCAGTGGTTTAAGTAAGGCAAATGGATCATTTATTTCCTCAGAGCTTGTTTTGAATAATTCTTTATTCTTTTTACCAAAATATATGGCCTCCTTTGATTTGGAGCATGCAAATGAACCTGAGCATGTGGACCTAAGTGGATGGTAACTTGTGTACCAAAATACTACAGAAGAGCAACTTTAAAAAACTTTAACATTATATCATTTGTACAGCAACACCAGAAGGCAGCACCTAAAGTTCAAATGACATTCTTCTCCTGTTTTTGGTTAAGTACATGATGCTCTGGGCTTACACACAGTTACTGGATACCTGAGAGTGGTGATGATGGTGACCTCTGAATCCACCAGGAAGGGAACTAATAATGGTGACCTTCAGTGGGGTGAGGTCTATGCCCCACTGAGAATCTTGGCATGAAGATTTGACAGCAGGTCATCCCAGCAGGGGTATTTCAGAATCTACCTGATCCTTGTGTTATCTGGCTGGGTCTGAGAGGTCCCCAGGCTGAAATAAGTTTGCAGATTTTCAGACTCCCATGATGGAAAATAAAATTGCAGGACACATTTGTAAAAAGAGACATGAAAAGGGTTTATTAGGACACCTTCAAAGAAATGAGACTCATTACAAAAGAGTGCAGCATATTAAAGGGGTGTCTTAAAGATAGGTGATCCAGATGGGTATTTTCAGTTAGGTTACAGTACAAGCCATGTGCTCAAAGCTAAAACAGATAGCCCACCAATACTGCTGCGCCCTGAGGAAGCAGAATTTACTGGTGAAGGACATGTGGAAAGCCTTAATTTACAGGTTTATTGTAAAAGAACCACTAGGAATTTTTTAAAGTGAGTTTCCTTAGAGGGAAAAAGGCTTGTCTTAAAGCTGCAGCTTTTCTAAAAAGCACAGTTTTAAAATCAATTTCCCTATCTCCTTTTTACCTAGTCTTTATTTCTTGTGTTCTATCTCATCCCACCCTCACCTCTGCCAAGCCTTCAGTCCCTTATTCTTAAGGGGGTGCAGAGGCCCAGCAATCCATCTTCACATAACTGCTTCAAGCTGAGGAGGGGTATTAACCCTAGCCAGGAACCTAGCAAGTCTCATCCAGAGGAGACATAGGGATACTGGGTTCCATCTTTTGAATAGCCATCATCTTTAGATAGTCTGAGGAAAAAGGTAAGGTCATATGAAACATTAGCCCACAATAACAAATGAATCATGCACTATAAAAGAATTCTACTACACAGTATCAGAGCCAGAAAGATGAAATATTTCTTGCACCAGAGGCCCAGGATGCTAGCCAGGCACTGATGTTTATAGCAAAGTCTGACACTGCCTCTTTTGTGAATGTAGATCACGTAATTCGGAAGACACAATTGAAGGTTTGAGAGGAATGTGCACACAACATTCTGTTCTGATAAGGGCACAGGTTCTACTTTGTGCTGCTGTTAGAACATCTAGGGCCCTTTGGGTTTTGTAGAATGACTTTTCTCATTTTTCTCCTGAGTTTAGTAATGAAATACCCTCGGCAGTGCCATTTAGAGCTTCTTGTATGTTGGTAAGAGATTCAGCATGTCTTATTACATCCTCAAATTCTATGTGGAAAGTAAGGATAAGCAGCCGCATGATCATACCAGTGAAAAACTGAACTGGTCCATCGATACCACAAGACTGAGAAGTTAGCTGGTTGATTTGTGATTTTACCCCAGTGCCCTTGGACCCATGGATATACTTATGTACAGCTTCCTACTCACCTTTTAGACAACCAAGGCCATAGGTTCGTACCACAGAGCCACTAGGTACCAGTTGGGGCTGGCCATGTTATCCCAGCTCTTGGTCTCCAGTCAATAGCAAAAAAAATCAGTATCTCTTAACAAACCGTGTCGTTACACACATATTTCTGGTGACATTGATTATATATCGTAAGTATGGTATTTTGGCTCCCAACAAAGGGGTGCTAGTCACCTAAGCTGCCCCATAGTAAATATCAGCCAAATAGTTTCAACCCAGACCTGAAAGTATTTACCTATAACTGATGATTATCTTTCATCATGGAAATATTAGGAGTCTTGGATAGATTAGGGCCTCTATATTTCCATATCTGACTACTAACTATGGCTAGAGAAAATTATTTTCATGGCTTTTTAATGAAAAGTCTCGTTTGTTGACCAGTGATAGATATTAAAACCTGGTAGTGAGCTTTAAAATGGTCGCTGTACTTCATAGCTGTTCTATAAAAATTTGAAGCTTCATCCAATCATCTTTCTGCAGAGGAAAGATCCATCATGATGGCCCAGATGGACTAGAAGTGAGCAATTGTTCACACATCCAGAATGAATCTTTGTTAATGCTTTTGGGTCCATGTTGCTGGGTCCAGTCAAGCAACACATTAATCTTTCCATTGGAGAATGGCATAAAGCAATGGCGTCAAACCCATGCACATGCGCTGTTTGCTATCACTGAAAGCTCTAAAAGGTTCTCCATCATTGGCACAAGGATTAAGAAAAACAAGAATTAGCTGACATCGACTTTAGACTGGTAATTAAGATTTTATATGTCTATAAGTTACATGCACAGCCAGGGACTGCTAGCAGGGTATGGTGCAGTATTTGGAGCCTACTTTTTATATATCCAGCGTAGGTAATTTTGGTTATAGTTTCCTGCTGGGTGTTTAAGACTAAATTACAATAAGACCTGTGTTAATCAAAATTAATCTATATTGATATCAATATCAATATAGATACTGAGGTAGCTCAAGGTCAATTTAGGTTCCTTGTGTACACAGCCTCTGAGTTCCCCTCTCAGGGTCATCCGTTAGGCTGGGTCGTATGGTCTCAGCTTGACCACCTGAAGACATTCCTCTCTTCAGTGATCCTCCTTTGAGCACAACACACACTGGTTGACTTCTGTACTCTTGGGTCCAATAACTCCCTGCTTGGGGGATGAGTGACTCATCAGAGCTGTAGGAGCCTTTAGAGAGGTTCCCTCATGTTCTGGGTCCCTGTTGACCCAGGGCCAAAATGTCAGCTGTCCTCTTAGCCCAGTTATTTTTATATTTTTTATTTTTATTTTTTAGCTTTTGTCTCTAAGCCTTAATTGTTGAATGTCCAGGTCAGTTAAACTAATACTGACTTGAGAGTTGTAGGTTTAACTATCATAATCTTATCTGGATAGCAAGCACTTTGAAATATAAAGTATGGCCAGAGAACTGCTACTTCTTTTATAAATTATGATTATATTAAAAGTCAAATTCCTATAGAATGTTAACAGATAACAGTTATGGTTTTACTAAGAAACTTAAACTCAAGCACCTCAGCTTAACTATTATGACGTTATTATACTAGAACTATTAGATTCTTGTTACTATGTTTGAAATACACTTAAATTTTAATTTTAGTATAAAATCACCTTTAATTATAAAATATTAAATGACAAAGAAATTTTATCTAAAATTGTTATCCCCTCCCTTTTCTTTTTATAAAGTATTGTTTTAAGTAGAATATACTTGTTTATTATTGTATTATATACTGTAAATAGCTATTGCCCAGTCTTTACTCTGTAAAGTAACATTGACTGCACTATGTATCATTTAGGCACATTCATATAATAATCATATACACAATTATATAACAATCACATACACATGAAGCTGAAAAAGTCCATTATCATGGACAACTTTAGTCTAGAGATCATCAGTATGATGCCTTTCTCAAATTCTGTGTTCTAGAAGGTATATACATTTGGGGAACACATTTAATATATAATGAGGTTAGCAATAATTAGAAATCTTTAGCTAAATCTAATTTTTACTCAGGGCAAAATTTAGAATCTTATAATTGGTTTTCTAGGCTGTAACTATACTGGCAAGTATTAAGGACATTTATAGACCTCTAATAAGCTTTAGAAACCACACTAATGACCACAAATAAACTAACTACTCAATATATAAGGCTATCACATTATACAACAAAAAATGTTTATTTAATCAAAGCCAAAAATGTAAAACAAGTTTTAAACAAGACCAAATTTAATGACAAAAATTTTTTATCATTTTATATGTCTAAGGTCTATATATTGCAGATAGCTATATATGTGTGTGTTATAAGGTACAATGATAGTAGCTTATTTAATCAACAATAATCCCATTATTGAAAACACTGATACATAATATATACAATTAGCTTTCTGGACAGCAAAAGTCTGGTAGTGGCAAACAGCAAGTAGCATCCTTGCATTCTTTTATGTTTTCCTATACTGCTTTCACTCCAGAGACTGCATAAAAGGTCCTGAACTTAAATATCTATGGAATCCCTTTCAGAACCCCTCCTGACAGCAGGAGCTTTTCTTCTTGTTCTTTCTGATAAGACATATACTTGCTCATTTTCCACTGGTGCTTGTTACTTTGTCATGCCTTTCTGTACCACCTCAGAACAAGAACCCAAAGGGAACTGGTTACATCTTTGGTGCCCAACGTGAGACCCACCTTTTCTATGGAGATAAGTATGGCAGAATGACTAGACCATACACACATACACTCCTTCTCTGTCCCGTTGCAAACATGTAAGAAAAGTGTGTATTCTTCCAGCTAGTTAAAAGTTTTTAGAAAAGCTGTGACTCTGAAAGCAGTGATCAGGTTTTCCAGTGACTACTGGTTAATACCCCAATAAAACCAGTGGAAATGTTTAGTCAGACAGGGAGTTGGAGTCCTTCCTGGAGACAGATCTCTGGTTGCCTGGAACTGGTGTAAGCTGGGCTGGCGACTACAAGGCCCTGGCTAGGACAACTCCATGGTGGGTACTCAGTGGCCCACATTGGAAGCTGGGTCCCAACAGCCCAACTGGTTCACAAGCAGAGAACTCTCTACTTGTTTATCATCCCCATGTTTTTTATTGGAGGGGTGGGGATTGCCATGACAAATCTGCAGCTAAAACATATCATTTATAATTTAAAGAATAAAAATGATAACTTGTTTGAAATTTAAATATTTAAACTACATGATTTGATTTGAGTCAACAATCAAAGGTGAATTTTTAGTATTTTAAGGGTTTAGAACTATTAATAAACATGGAAATACTTTTCATGTTTTCCACTATTAAGAAATAAGGAAATATTTTTCATGTTTCTAAATTGCAGTATAACTTCACTAAAGAGAAAAGTGACTCACAATTTGATCCCTAAATTGGGAGCTTAAGAAAGCACCCACAAACCAATAACTCTTAAATTATTTCCAATATAAAGTTCCTATGTGTGGTACTATAATACAAATAACCGACATAGTAAAAGACCATATTTAACCCTTTTTTTACATCTCTCATTTCATCCCATACTTCAAAGGGACAATTAAATTGGTAATATTTTTATGACCACGAGTGACCTGTTTTGAACAGTGCTTGGTTCCAGGTATTTGCTCAAAAAATATTACCTGTTAGAATTGTAATGTCTATTACTTATATGTGCTATTTTCTTGAAGAACTGAACCTTCCCATTAACAAAAAGCATAAGCAATGTTATACATTCAATTTATCATAAGCATGATTCTTCCCATAAGCCATAAAATTTGCATTCAAATACGCTTAAATAATCTTCTCTTTAATAGTCTTTCAAAATATCAGATATACTTTGTATATGAAAAGAAATTAAATGTTCACATTTGCAGGGTTAAAGCAGATTTTGTAGAATTTGTTAGTAACATTATATTTCTAGTCAACATTGCATATAATATGTACTTCATATTCAAAATGTACTTGAGATACTTGAGTAAAAATATAAAGTCTCATAATTGAGTAAATTTAACTTTAATTCAAGAGAATTATACCATACTGTTCATACCAAGGAAGTGTTCAATCCATGGAAATACATGATGTGGTCAGTGATGGGTTGAGGGAACTACTAGAAAGAAAAACAGAAGACTGAAAGAGTAGTCAGTGCTCTACTCACAGGTGGTTGGAAAAAAAAATAAAAATAACCAGCACATTCTTGGCAGGAGGCTGTTTAAAGGGTGGACTTTTTCTTTCCTTTTGAGATCACTGACTTCTCTTCCTGGAAGACTTATAGTTAAACTAATGAGCTCACTGAAGTTCAAGAAATAAGTCAGTAAAAAGCTGATCACAGAGTTATAGATTCATGGGAAAGACTTCTCAAAGTCTTTTAACTAAGTCCCTGGCCTTGAGATTAATGTCAATTCATCAATTTTAAATAAACTAACTTCCCAGAAAGGAACAAAATCTTTTTTTGCAACACAATCTGGCTTCTAACCCAGAGTCATTACACACTGGTGAAGTTGTGGAAAGAGAAGATGTGACACTTAAAAGTCTCTGGGTTTTCTTTTTGCTCAGTCTAACATACTCTTAGCAAAGTCCCAGAACCTTATGAAGGCAATACAGGAGTTCCCTTAATTGAATTTGGGGCCAGAGTCTGAGGTCCTTATCTTTTGCCACATTTACCCTCTGCTACTGCTGCTCCTAGGCAATGTCAAATAAAAATAATACCAGATACTTTTTAAATACAGTAGCACAGGTATTATTTGCATTTCTGCAGTAGGAGATAGAAACTCCAGGATACACTGAGCTTAGTTCCAAGAAGACAAAGGTAAGCAAGATTTTCAAAAAGAGACCAAGCCAGGCATGGTAATACATGCCTGTAATATCGGCCTTCTGGGAGGCCACAGCAGGAGGATCACAAGTTCAACCCCAGCTGGGGAAACTTAACAGCTTCTTGACGCCTGATCTCAAAACAACAAATAAAGAATACAAAGGGCTGGGATGTTAGGTCAGTCTGAAAGCTCTAGGTTCAATCACCAATACCCCACTGGGGAGAAGAAGGAAAGAGACAGAGAATTCAGGTAACAGACAAAAAGAATGGGATGTGGAAGTGGGGGACAACTCACATAACAGCCTGTGCACTGGGCTGCCTCTGCACTTTTGCATATTTTATAACCACAAATGACATAAAATTCCTTTAACATGTAATAATGATGGTTGTTGCTTCCAGTGGTTGCAACAAAGGCTCAAAGAGCTGACTCAGAGTAGAAGGCTAAGGGAGCCCATAACCCATGTACTATTGAGTATTTTCATCCATCAAGTTCTTTGGTCTGATCTTTCAGTCCACCAAAAATATTTATGCTTGATCAAATAATTTCCTATAATAATGACATTGAATGGGTGTCAAATGAATGGTTTTAAAGGGAGTTTGATCTTTGCATGAAAAAGAATTTCTTGCAGCAGTGACATGGGACATTTACTGTGTCCTAAATGGTAACCATTTATTAGATTGATTTCTAGTGAAAAAGAAAACTCTTGCCTGGAGTTTAGCTTAGCAGCACAAGCACCTGCCTGGCAAGCACGAGGTCATGAGTTCAATCCCCAGTACCAAAAAACAACAAGCAAACTCCTTCAAGAGGCCACATCAAAGTCTTGAGTTCCAAGTGCTTTTAAGGCATTGCTCAACATCTTCCCAAAAGAAGAACTAGCTGGCTCTGTATATCTAAAGCATAAAAAAGACAATAATTAAGAAAATGTCAATCTTAAGATTAAATGGAGTATAGGCATTGCTATAATGTGCGCGCTCAGTGTCGCCCCAAAGTGAGTGTGTTAAAGTCCTGTTCCACAGGATAGCACTATAGGGAAGTGGTAGAAACTTTAAAAGGTGGTTCCTGACAGAAGTGCTTACTCCTTGAGGGTATGGCCTTGGCAGTAATTAGGGGACCCCAGTGCCTTCCCCTTCCATTCTTTTGCTCCTTGGCTTATGATACAAGCAGGTTTTCTCTGTCATGTGCTCCTACCATAATGTGCTGCCTCATCATGGGCCTAAAAACAGCGAAGCCAACTGATCATGGACTGTAACATCCAAAATGTGAGTCCAAATTAACTGTTCCTCTTTGTAATTTGGTTATCTCAGGTATTTTGTTAGAGTGACAGCAAGCTGAAGAACAGGACCACAGATCCAACAAACACTTTGGTTAGTTTCACTGGCTGCTTGTTTCCCTAGGCTGAGAAAATAATCAATGGTCATTTCATGAGCGTGAATTACAGTCAAGACAGGAAAATACAGGACAGCAAACGGCATGGAGGAATCACATTAAGGAGGAGGAAGCATGCATAGTAAGGAAGAAGCATTACTGAGGATGGAGACAGGACATTTCCAGGGATTCGAAAAGAGTAGGAGAATGTATGCTGGCAACAAAGGTGAGTGTAGGTGGACTTTGTTCATGATTGGGGCAGGGGCTGACTTCCTCCTCGAAACATCTACTTGTCCTGCAGTCCTAGGTGTGGATGACTGTCTCTGGCTGGGCTCTACTTGGAGGTTCTCCACAGAATCCTAGCCTAAGGTCCAGCATCGAAGTGTTCTTCCAATAATGAACAGGTCTTGTATTTTGTTAACTGAGAAACCTGGACCCAAAGTTTAGCAATGAATAAAGCGATATTGAGGTCCCTTCCAACATGGCTCAAGTTTAATTTTCTACTGGTGGTATTTCCAAAATACCAGAGCACTTACAATCAAATAAAGACTAATAAAAGAGCTCAAGGAAATAGGCAGTCTTGGCTTGTTGATTCTTGGACTATGTGTATTGATTTAACCCCTGAAACTATCTGAAGATGCTGGACTGAGTTATTGGAAACTTTAATGAGGCCTAAGAAGGCATTTTCATGGGCTTTCCTGTAATGATAGTGTTGTGTGAAGGTAGACGGTTGGTAATCATTACAATAATAAACGCATTCAGCCAGTTTGACCTTGAGGACACTGCTGGCTCTTTCTATAACACTAGAATGACTGAGAGTGGTAAAGGGAATAGAATCTCTGCAAATGTCTCTTCCTATTTCCTACGTAATTTTTCCACTGAAATGCAATCTTCTCTTACTAGAGGTAAAAGCAGGGAAGAATTACTCTAGAAAAATCCTCACGGCCAATGTAACTGAGGCATTTCAGCAGGGAAAATAATCTAAGCATTTAGAAACCATGAAAATTAGGGCGAGCACATGTTGATGATTGTAAGCTACTGATAACAGCTTTGGGATGAGAGGAGGGTGTTGCTGCAGCTGGTGGATGATCATCTGGAGGCTGAGAGGGTCTTGTTCACGCCTTCATCTCCACTCCTTGCCCAACTTGTGACATGAGGGACTGTCCTTTCCTGGATGCCACTTGGTATCTTTGCTCCAACAGGCAGATTCTGTCAAATTCCTGGCTTCAGGGATAGTGGAGGAGGAAGGGATTGCACAGGCTGGTGGTGCAGAGAAGAGCAGGGTGGTGCTGAGGAGGGACAGGTGGGCACCACAGATGTCAGCGTGACCACCACCAGATTGTGGCTCAGGCAGCACACTGGAAGGCTTGCTGAACAAGGGGAAAGGTAGGGGAACTGCATAGTCTATGGTTGAGAGGTGAACACAGAGAACTCTTGAGTCCTTTTAACACATGGGATGGCGGGCGGTCCAGCCAGTGTGTCTTTGGATGGGTCTTCAGTTAAGGTGTGACAGGGCAAAGCACCTGAAATAAGGGAAATTAGAGTCGAAAGTTCATTTCAGCTGTTTGTTTCAGGAAAAGGAAGATGCTGACTGACAGAGGCTCGGTCTGGGATGCAGTGTTTCCTGTAGCTAAGATATCATGATGCAAAAACTAGATAGGCAGAATTGAATTCTGCCTCTGGCTATCTTGTGGTCCTTTTTTACTAATGTTGTAAGAAAGCGTTCAGGCCCAAGAGGGAGCATAAAAGTGTACTATTTGTACACTGAATTAAACTGGAGTTTCCTGAGAATTGTAAGTCTTTCAAGTTGGTATTCAAGACATGTGTTACTCAGTTTTCCATTTCTGTAACAAATAATTGTGATAAATTAAAAAGAGAAAAGATGTATTTTGGTCCACAGTTTCAGAATTCTCAGTCCATGACCCCCTGTTCTTGTTGCTGTGGGCCAGTATTAGCCCAGTACACCATAGCCAGAACATGTGGTATATAGAAAGTCTGTTCTCCTTACAGCACCCGTGAAAAAAACTACAGAACCAGGGAGAGGATGGAGTAGCAAAATCCTCTTCAAGAATACACCCAAAATAACTTTCTTTCCACTAGGCCCCACCTCCTAAAGGCACTACCATTTCCCAATAATGCCATAATCTGGGCACAAATTCTTGAACACATGTGCCAAGCTTTTAACACATGGAACATTCCAGGTCAAAATTCTACCAAGATGCCTGAGAATATAAATCCTTGCCATACTAAAGTACAAGTATATTGTTGGTCTCACCAAGTAAAAGCAACCATGTATTGAGATTCTCTACAAGGAGAATACTGAAAAACACTAAATGCCAATTAATTATTATGGAATTCCAGGAACTGGAAAGTATGGCAGAAAAGATAATGTTAGAATCACATATCAAAAGGAAAACTCAGGTTGACAACTTTCTTGACAAATCTCAAATCACAAGCTAACAGGTATGCCTTTCCATTTGGCTTTTCGACAGCCAGAATGGGCACATTGGATAAACTGAAAGTATGGACTAGAAGGCTTTAATCTCATAAATTATTCATTGTTGGACAGGGTTACTCGAGTCCTTGAATTTTAATTGATACTGGGGTCCTAGGGAGAAGCATAGAGGAGTCTATTTCTATCTTTAGGGGCCCTGAATCTCCTATGTGCCAAATATTTGCCTGGAAGAAAGAAGGAATTCCGTGTCTCACAGTTGACGTATGTCTTCAGCTCAATGTATTCAGACAAGGTTATTAATAAACATGAAGGGAAGGAGTCTTCCTGCACAGTGAATTATGACAAGATTCCTACTCAAAGGAACTCTCATAGGTGGTAGAATCGAGAAGTTGTGTGGAACTTTTAAGTGGTACCATAGAACTAACACAAGTCAAAAAGAGGCAAATCATGAGACAAGTTGTCAAAACTTACCAGAGGCAATGTGTGGTGACCCTGAGAAAGGAGAGCAGGATATCAGGTAGTTTGAAGAATACCACGTGTGGCTTCCATAGTTGGTCCCTTTGTTTATATACAATTGTCTTATTATCCCAACCTGTCTTGTACTTCTTTTTGATTAAAAAAAAACCACTCCAAAAACTCAATTTCTCTCATACTCTCTCTCCCCACAGCTCTCATACTTCAATCCCAACTGTCATGCACTGACTCAAACCACCCCCTTCTCTCCTCCCTCATTGACTCTACAGTATCCAATGGCTCCTATCACCTAGTCCAAGATCCCAGAACTTAGTAACAAGGCAATAATGCCAATTCACCCACTGGTGCCAAACCCTTACACTATACTGTCTCATATTCCTACATGTATCTCTCACTTTTCTGTATTAGACCTTAAAGGCACATTTTCCACTACTCCCTCACACCCTGATTGCTAAGATTTCATTGCCATCTGTCTCAGTCACCCTCAGGCTCTCTCAGCACCCCCATATTTCTGTAACCCAACCACCCCAGAAATCTTATATCTCCTCTCAGACCCCACCTACAACACATCAGGTTGCTGGATCTGCCTCCCCCCTCAGCAATCACAACTATCCCAGCTTTAAACCTCTCCAGCCCTTTGCCCACACCACCTCACTAACTGCCTCCCCCTTTGGTTCCTCTGTTGGGCTCCTCTCTTGGCTCTCACCACTCCTGGGTCCCCTTGCAGGCCTCTGTGTCATGCTCGTGCTCATGCCATATCTCATCTCCCTAGTCTGTGACATGTTCACAAAAGTCACCAGAAAAAAAATCTTAACCAGATGATCCTCCCTGACTTCTCTTATCAGATAGTGCCCACAGCTGATCCCGACGGTGACCCTACACCCCCAGCATAGCCTTCCCACTTCGCCCCAAGATAGCCTAAAGCAGCCAAAAAGATACCGTTGCCGGATTCCTAAAAAAAAAAAAAGGCTGGGACAAAGAGTGAGCCTGCCCCTGGAGCCCTGTTCACTTGGGTTGCAAAAAAAGAAACTTCCCAGGGGCTGGGGATTTAGCTCAGTGGCATAAGCGCCTGCCTTGCAAGTGTGTGGTCATGAGTTCAATCCCTGGTACCAATAAAAGAATAAAAATTAAAATTAAAAAAAAAAAGAAAAGAAATTTCCCAGACCTGTTCCAACTGCAAGAGTCAACCCTGCCCAGGTGGATACCCAATGACGACTGCTGTTCACACTCTACTGTTCACACCTGGCTCACACACAGATCCCTCCCCCGAACAACCCTTAAAAAACTCTCTCCTCAAGCCAAACAGCAGCTATTTTGGTCTGCAAGACAGTCCGCCCTGCCCAATAAAGCTTCTCTTTGGTGGCAGAATGTCTGGTCTGGACTCGCAGTGCTTCCAGCCCATCATTTTAGTCACCCATTTGCACTCTTGTCTCCTCTGATTGACTGTGATATGCTGAGAGACTGAAGGCCTATTCCTGGGCAATGTTTGCTGGACTATTACAGGAACACTGGACAAAGTCAGGTAAGGAACAATCCTGAAAGTTAAGTCAACTGCACTTTTATGTCACTGACCAAAGAGTGGGTCTCTATCCAGGGTAGCAGCTAAAATCCAGTACACTAAAAATGTGTTTGAAAGAAAGTGAAATATTGAGAGGCATATGACCCTTTATAGAAATTTAGGCACAATTTCTACATAAATATTTACTAACAAGAGGTAACAAAATTTATCTTGCAAGATTATACAATATATGGCTCTGTATTTAAAAGATGTCTACTGAATGCAATGGCCAAATGTCATCTAAAGTAAAATACTAAATTTTACAGATTAAGCAAGAGCAGACAAAATGTGCACAGGCAATTGTCAAGAAAGAGATTAGTTCAGCTGTAGAACAATGTTAGGCTCTGATATTGTGGGTGTGGTAGGTGGTTCATATCAAGGATTAGCATCCTACAGATATACCTACTCCTCTCTCACTGACTGGATATAACCCAAAGTAGGACTAGAGGGAAGAGTTCATTGTGAACCCGATAAGAAGATCCTTTGTAAAGTTTAGCATGGGTTGGAGGGGATAGTGTGTGTAGTTACGACAGTTACCCAGAAGTGCACCTAAAATTCAAATGACATGTATGCTCACTGATACAACTTTTTAAAAACTTCTGAAGAACATATTGATTCTTTTATGGGTTATTAGTCAGTCATGAAATAGTATTTTTATTTCTTCAAATGTCAGCTGCAGTTTCCTCAAAGACCAGTGTAACCTACAGAGACTAATAGTCACTAACCTACAGAGATTAATAGTCACAGCGTGCTCCACCACTCTTTTAACACCTGATCTCACCATCAAGATGCTCACTGTGTGTTACTACATCCCACATGACATCCTGTGCTTCAGTGATTCCTGGAAAGGTTTATTTTCTCTATTATTATGTCAACTTTGATGTATCATTTTTACTTAATAATTCTAGCTGATTCTTTTAACTTTAGGCTTATCATGATCCCTTGAGTTATGATTAATCTATTTCTATACTTTTGAACACAACAGCAAAGGAAAGAAGAACATGCAGAAACATTTATCACGACTCAGTGTATTTGTCAAATCCTATTCCAGCATGCTGGCCTAACATTCACTAGGCACAGCAATGAAGAGACAGAGTATGTAGCAAGAGTGCCTGTTACTTTTCTCTCTTGCTGGGAAAAAATCCCCAACATCCAAACTTAAGGAGGGAAAGTTTTGTTTGGTTCACAGTTGTAGAGATTCCAGTCCATAATCAGCTGGCTCCAAGGCAGGGTGGCACATAGCAGAGGGGCAACAATTCATGGCAATGGGAGACAGCAAAAGCAGCAGGAGAGAGACAGAGAGGGAGGCATGCCTGTTTCTGCCCATTTTATTTTATCTCAACTGCTGGGATTAGGGTTGTGCAGTCAGTGAGCCCACCTTTAATTCCAGAACCCTTAATCCCAGCATTGACTATAATCAATTACAAACTCTCGATTCAGCTACCTATAAAAAAGCCTGCCCTGTATGACTTCAAGACAGTTTGCGGGGACGTCTAGACACAAACCTTCATCTCCCAAAGACTCTTGAAAAAGTCAGTTAGTCCATCCCTAGGGTTGCCAAGGTCCTAACAGCCTAATCATTGTTGAAAAGTCCCAAGTCTCCTCTGAGATTTAAGGCAAATTCTTAGCTGTGAGCCCCTGTACAAATTAAAAGAAAGTTTAAAAATACAACATTCAATGGCACAAGGTAGGTATTTCCATTCTAAACTTACAAACAGGAGGATACAAAGGAATGGGACCATAGCAAGTCCAAAATCCAGCCAGGCAAGCATTAAGTCCTGTGGTCACATATACAGTATCTGAAGCAATCTGTGGCAAGAGATGAACTACAAAAGGCTTGCGTGGTTCTGGCCCTATGGTATTTCTGGTGTTTGTAGCTTCTATGACTTTTTTATTTTGACTAGATTTGCTCAGTCTTTGCAGCTATTCTTCAACAATCTGCATTCTTGGCTTCTCCAAAATTCTGGGGTTTCCACCACAACTTCATGCACTGCCCTCTGAGGAGCACATTGCCTGGCCTCCCAAGCCTTCTGAAA